GAACACCCAGGACTGATCTCCTTTAGGATGGACTGGCTGGATCTCCTTGCAGTCCAAGGGACTCTCAAGAGTCTTCTCCAACACCACAGTTCAAAAGCCAGTAACTATTCATCCTTAAATTCCAGGATACTTTTCAGAATTATTTTTACAGCTTCCAGGCAAAAGTATGAAAGTATCTAGCCCCCAAAGGAAATTTCATCTCCCTCAACTAAGATTTCCAGTTGTCAGCCTCCTATTACAGCAAGCAGCAAAACCTACTTATGAAAAACATATGTAAGAGAATACAATATTTTATTTCTTTGGTGAAGGCTTCTTATTGATTGGTCCTGAGGGTACAAGAATGGATGATATTTATGTGCTGCTCTCTAGAAGTCATAATAGAAAAGAGCAAAGCAGATTGTAAAACTTTATTTCAAACGTTTAAGTGATATAATGGAGGCATGGGAAAGGTACCCTGGGAGTCTAGACAAAAAAGGAACCTATAGAGCTTAAAGGAATTTGTGGTAACATAGCAGTGACACAGTGAGCAGGGTCTTAAGGGAAGAGGGTGACTTTTGCCAAACAAGGAGTGAGGAGCATCTCTGCACAGGGCAGAGGCAAACGGGTGGAGATGTAAACGGGCAGTTTACAGTGGGATTAGCACAGACAGAGCGAGACTGAAACCTGAGTCCGAGAGACAGGAGTGGTGGGAATCCATCACCACCACACGGATCACAAGATACAGACCCCTAAGACTGCAGAGTATTTATCCAAAACAGACATCTGAAAGCTGAAAAAAGATGTAATAATGTGAGTATTCTGACAGAAATGTGCAGGATGAATCCAGTAGGAGAAACAAGATGATCTGTTTCTATAATCGAAGTAAGAGATATTAAGAGCTTTTACTAAAGTAATTAGTCATCAAAATACAAACAGATGTTAGGAGACAAACTTAGGGTTACCAGGGAGGAAAGGGGAGGGGAGCAGACGGGAAACTGGGATTGACGTGTGCACCCTACTGTATGTGAGATGGGTAACTGATCAGCACCTGCAGGTTAGTGCAGGGAGCTCTAGTCACTGCTCTGTGAGGACTCACCCGGGACTGAGTCTAAGAAGAGCACATGTCCATGTGTTTGTGTAACTGGTTGACTTTGCTCTATAGCAGGAACTAACACAGCTTTGCACATCAGCTATATACACTATACACACACACACACACACACACACACACACACACACATATATATATTCCAACAAAACTAATAAAAACACATACTTAGTAGATTATGGAACAGGATCAACAGAAATTTAGAGCTAATTTTATCTGGGAAGTGAAAGGAATGAATGAATTCAGCATTACTCAGAATGTTTGTAGAGAGGTGTGGTGGTTTACTTGCTAAATTGCACCCAACTCTTGAGACCCCATGAACTGTAGCCCCCTAGGTGCCTCTGTCCATGGGATTTTCCAGGCAAGAATACTGGAGTTGGTTGCCACCTCCTTCTCCAGGGAATCTTCCCAACCCAGGGATAAGACCTGGGTCAGATCCTGTAAATAATAATTTTGCTTCCTAACAAAGGAGAACACATCTGGGAAGGAAGAAAATGAAAGAATGAAAATAAAGAGAGAGATTTCAACTTGTAAAACATCCAGGTAAAGATATATATCCAGTATGTAGTTGGAATGTTCTCATGAGTTTATTTTCAATATTGCACATTACAGATATTAGAAAAAATATAATACTAAGTTGGAATTTAAATGCTTACTTATGTTTTCCACACAAAATGCTCTGCAAAAAATAACATGTGTAAATTACTCATGACAGTTGCTATACCAGTTCAAACAGTAAAAAATCTGAAAAGTTTATATTTAATTAGAGTTACTCTTTCCTTGAAAGGACATTATATTTTCTAAAATCTTGTTCCATAGAACAATGGTAACTTTATAAGTGTCCAGGGCAATTAGTAAGCAGTTAGAAGATTGTCTTGAACAAGTAAAAAGTCCCAGAAATTCTGATTAGTTTACCCTAAATGTAAGATTAATAAAATAACTCTAAGCAATTATATAATGTCATTAGCATTGTCAGTACTGGTCAAGTTCTCTACATTTTATGTCTCTGCTAAATTTATGGCAAATTCCTAAAGGGTAATATGACAGGGAAGCCATAATATAGAGGTTCTATGAGTCAAGATGAGCTAAGTTACATTGTGGTAAAACATGAGTATTTCTAAATCTTAGTTGCTTAAGCACAGTTAAATATATTCTCTCACCCATACAAAGTCCATTTTGGGTCAATAGATATTGTTCTCCCTTTGAAAACATATAAATAAAAATTCAAGCCAACCCCTATGATAATTTGAAATTGGCCATCTCAATATGTGTAGCTTTCTATGTTTCCTTGGTGGGAAGAAGAAAGAGCAAAGAAAAACCCTGTAACAGGTACTGACAGAAGTAACTCATCTCTCCCCCCAACTTCCTGTTGCACATGGTCATGTGACAAGATCATATGGTCATAACCCAACTACAACAGATTTTGGTAAGTATAGAGCCACACATGGATATTTAATAAGCATTATTTGTGTCTGTCATAGAGACAATCACAGGTGAACACAGGGTTACTTACAGGAACTAGGGAGTATCAGAAATCTGAGCTCTTTAGTCACCAGAGATTCAGTCCATTCTTTTAGAAACACTTTTAAAAGAGCATCAGGTGATAAGACTCCAAAGGAATCTTGTTCAATTCAAGGAACAAGAATCCAACTTGTTCATATTTTATCATTTCCAAATATTACATTCATGGGATTTTTAGAATGAGAAAGAGAGTATTTAATCTGCTCATTTAAGTATGAAGGAAACTTTAATTCACAAGAAAAAAATGAAGAACTTACCCTGAGTCACAAAGTAGTTTAGTGGAAGAGATGAAATGAGCACCAGTAATCATTTTCACTACACAGGATCCCCTTAGAAGAGCCACTGATTCTCTATCTGAAAACACAAAATTCTAGCGTTAGTAGAAATTACAGCCAAGACTATCTGACATAAGTTAGTTCAGTCGCTCTGTCGTGTCACTCTTTGCGACCACATGAACTGCAGCACGCCAGGCCTCCCTGTCCATCACCAGCTCCCGGAGTCCACCCAAACCCATGTCCATCAAGTTGATTATGCCATCCAACCATCTCATCCTCTGTCGTCCCCTTCTCCTCCTGCCTTCAATCTTTCTCAGAATCAGGGTCTTTTCCAATGAGTTAGTTCTTTGCATCACCTGGGCAAAGTATTGGAGTTTCAGCTTTAGCATCAGTNCATGTCCAGTTCTAACAGTTGCTTCCTGACCTGCATACAGATTTCTCAAGAGGCAGGTCAGGTAGTCTGGTATTCCCATCTCTTTCAGAATTTTCTGGCATCACAATGTATAAAAATTTGCCTTTTATATCATTATTGTTTGAGTTGACATTCATGGTTATTTCCTAAAACATTTATCAAGGAAGAAGAATCAAAGAATTAAATAACCCAATTACTCTTACATGCAAGTGATCAACTCTGATAGTCCAGTAAATCTTATTCATGAATTAGACTTGAACATTCGGCCTCTAAATACTTCCTCGGACACTTACATAATAAATTCACCTAATCATTTATGCAATTAATGACTCATGTGGCAATCATTTGTAGGTATGTATGTGTCTTCAATGTCTTAATACTTACAAATTAAGAATAAAACAGCTCCCCCAGAATTTTACTTTATGATGATGAAGTCAGAGCCAATAATATGCTGAGAAGAACCCGAACCGTGAAATCAGGAGATTCTCATTCTAAACCTGCTTCTATCACTGGCCTTTAATCAAATTCTACAGTCTGCCTTGAGTTGGATTCCTCTACAGAAGGAAAGATGAGTGGACCTGGAGAACCCCATCCTGAACAAATAGACTTAGCACTCCACCCTACAGTTCCCATTCTCAATTCTTAGACATCACATTCTGTACCATCTTTTAAACACCACTCTCTTTTGAGTTAACTCCAATAAATGTTTATACAAATCAGAGATTTCTTGACACAAATAAAAATAAAACACTTGATTTTAATGGTTTCCTACTAAGAAAAAAGTAAATATAGCAAAATACCAGGAAAAATCACTTTCTTTCTCTCTCCCTCCTCCCTTCCCTCCTTCTTTCCCTCTTTTCCTTTTTTCTTTCTTCCATCTGTCTTTTTCCCCTTTCTCTGTCTCCCTCTTTCTTTCCCTCTATCATTTATTCATCATCTTGTTTCACTACTGACATCAAGTGTGCTCTTAAAAGTACATGGAATTTAATTTGTATAAAAGACCATGAGAAAGCAAAACAACTTAGGATTTCCATTAAATCATTGTGAAACATCACTTGCAGAAAAATTTACTTCTAGAATTTCCCTTAGGATATAACTTGGGACAAGTTCAGTGACTTAGACACAATGATGTACTCTTCAACTTCTTTTATAACATGAAAAAATGTGGTATATTTACACAATGGAGTTCTATTCAGCCGCCTAAGATAATTATATTAAAATATTTTATGGTTTGTAAAATACTCTTGATTTGTTTGGTAGTTAACAAAAACATTAATATTAGAAGCATTATATGCAATTTGATAACATTTAAAATATATATATACATACACACCTGAAAAGAGAAACATCAAAACTTTAAGGGTGTAAATTTCTGGATGAGAGATTAAATTTACTTTTAATTTGTGTTTTTTGTACATTTATATTAGAAATATGTAGTATATCTGCAATTGAAAAAAACTAACTCAAATATCAAAATGGAGCTTTACAAAAATATGTCATAGATTTAATTTTGGAATAATATTTATAGAACTGTGACATAAAATGCACATCATAAAACAAAAAACACAGCAACTAAAAAATTATTGAACTCTACTAGAAAAGTGAAAAAAAATAAAAACCTCTTAGAAAATATTTCTCAAAAGAAATACTATTGGCACCTTCAGTGGTATGATTCTTCCAGGGGCTGAGCTATCCCAAAAATACAGGACATGTAGCACTGCTGGCTCCCACTCACCAAATGCCAGTAAGTTTTACTCGCTCAGTCGTGTCTGACTCTTTGCAATCCCATGGACTGTAGCCCGCCAGGCTCCTCTGTCCATGGGATTCTCCAGGCAAGAATTCTGGAGTGGGTTGCCAGTCTCCAGGGGATCTTCCCGACCCAGGGATCGAACCCAGGTCTCCCACATTGCCAGCAGACTTTGACCTCTGAGCCCCCAGGGAAGCCCACAAACGCCAGTGGCAGACTCCAATAGTAGAGATTGATCCAATGCCCTCAGGGCTTCCCTGGGGGCTCGGGGTAAAGACTCCGCCCACCATTGCAGGAGACTGGATTGGATTCCTGGTCGGAAATCTCACTTGCCCGTGCACCACAGCTATCGAGCCTGTGCTCTAGAGCCCGGGAGCTGCAACTACTGAAGCCTGTGCATCCGAGAGCCCGTCCACAGCATGAGAAACTGGTGTGAGAGAGACCCACGCTGCAGAGCAGCCCCTCCCGACACGACGGGGGAAGAGCCCCGCAGCAGTGGAGACCCACGATGCACAGACAAATGCCTCACTATTTCTAAATGCTCAAGGCTTAAGAACCATGGCTAGAAGATGCCTGTACCAATGAAAGACAGCCAACTGGCTCTATTTATGAACAGGTTTGCCAGTAAGCTGCCCCCATAACATGGTAGTAGGTATTAAAGATAAAAATAACTCCCAACTGATTTTTTTTTTCTGCCCAGGGTCCTTGGGTTAGAGCATGATTCCAGGAAAAGTGATACATGTCTACTATCCTTACCCTCCATTAGTTCTGAGCCTTAGGTTTTAATTAAATTGCTTCCCACAATTCCCTCTATGACCTTGGAGGTCACTTAACTTCACTCTCCTGGTATCACTTTGCTAAATCTTTTCCAAATGAGGCTAATGAAAATTCCAGCTCTAAAATTCCAGTGTTAATTGGTTTATAGTCTCATTCATGAATATATTCATAATTTTTACCAGGAGCTACAAAGAGGCAAAATAAGCAATAACCTGGACTCTCAAAGTCACATAAGAGGTTATGTATTCAGCTTATCTAAGAGAGTCCATTGAGTAAATTCTTAACTGTCTGTCTGCCATTGATATCAGAATAAAAAATGGTTGATGAGCAGATTCCAATTTTAAGAAAATTGGACTCAGAGATGTGGGAGTAAAAAAGATCCAAATGATAGAAAAATCATGATACATTCAAATCAACTAGTTTAGAACAAATTGAACTTTCAAAAACTGGAATCTCTAATGACAATCCATTATCTAATTGACATTGCCCTAGATGTCTTCATATTAGTGGCCTTATCACATGAGCGCTTGGTATTTCTATGACTATACTCAACACCATTATTTCTAAAATGCTTTCCTTTCTCACTAAACTGTAAGTGCTGAGAGAGGAGCTTGGCTCTGGATGGAATATGATTATTTAACTCCTAATCTCAACAGCTTTAGGTGCTTTTTCTTGCCAAGCATCTTGACTGTTTCATTGTGTCTGACTTTATGTATAATCTGTTTGTGACCTCCTCATTTACCCCTGCTTCCCACTTTATTTTAGGATTCTTAGTGCAGGCGTTGATAGTGAAGAGCTGCTGAGACGGTGAAGCAAGCCTCCTGTGAGACAACAGCGGCAGTGTCGGCCCCGATTCCCTCATCCATGCCGGTCCTCTCAGCGGACATTCCTGGTCTGGCCATTTCACACGGAGGGCGACTGCTGGTTCTACCCTACTGGAAACTTGAGAGGGGTACCATCTTGTTAAATCCTTCTCCATTTCTCTCTCCCCTAAAAAGAAGTTCACAGCTTGATGCTAATACCTTTGCTCTGTGTTTTTCTTCTTGTCAGCGTTTAGTCATTAAGTAGTGTCCATCTCTTGACTCTTTGTGACCCCACAGACTGTAGCAGCCAGGCTCCTCTGTCCATGGGATTCTCCAGGCAAGAAGACTGCAGTGGGTTGCCACTTCCTTCTCCCGGGGATCGTCTCAACCCAGGGATCAAACTCAGGTCTCCTGCTTGGCAGGTAGATTCTTCACCACTGAGCCACCTGGAAAGCCCCCATTTAATTATACTTAAAATGTTACTATGATTCCTTTTTTAAACTTCAGACAAAGTGCTTTGTCATACCAAAATAATATATTTCATTTTGAGGTCAGAAGCACTTTTACTTAGAAAGATTTTTTGTTATTTATTTTACTTTCATAAGTAGAATAAATTTTTCATATTAAGTAAAGTTTTATTTACTAAAGGAATTTATGTATGATGGATTTTCAAAAATTAGAAAATCTTTATATAATAGGGACAATATTTATATATAAGTTGTATTACTCCTATCACAAAATCTCACTTATCACATTAAAGATTTTTTTTTAATCTACCCTTTAAAGTAAAAATTTTGCTCTTATAAAGATGTCTTAGGATATATCAATCAGTGATTTTTATGAAAGGTATGTATTTTTTCAGGTAGCTTATTCTCAAATAAAACTACTCACATAGTTATTGGAATTTGGAGTAAATGGAAGAATAATTTGATGTTGCTTTTGGGGAATTTAGAAAAGAGTTCTGGATAAGTTTTGAGACATCAGAATAACTCAGAAAACCAAAAATACAGAATCTATCTGAGTGAACTGCTCACATTAGTCTTGACTTCTCCATGTCAGTTAGAAGGACAGAAAGGTATCAGGAAGAGACAGCAAACAGCAAATAGCCACACTCCCATTAGCATCCCACTCATTGTGCGATTATGCAATTTGCTTTGTGTAACATAAGTGTTATGCCTTTAAAAAGACACCATATCAAAAAGTGTGCACAGGAGATATCAAAAAGTAACACAGGAGATATTAAGTAAAATAAACAGAAAAACTATGCATTCCATAGAATGCTTACACTCATTTGTAGCAACCAAAGACAAGGACATTGAACTATCTTTTCCCCAACAACTTGCAGCCTTAGTTTTAGGAATGCAGCGGAGTGAAACAGAATTTGCTGTTGAGGCTGCGTTCCTCAGTGTAACGTGGGCAGAGAGCACCCCCTACCCTCTCCTGATTAAATAGCACCCCTGGCCAGGAAGAAAGGAGATACTGGCTCCATGTGGATATTTCGCTCAGAAAATCAGAAGGGATTTGTCTATAAGGTTCATTACCTCTTGGCCTCTATTGGCAATAACCCATATTCAGGAGGCCAGCATTGTGACACCCTCAAAGGAACTCCCTGAAGGAGGCAAAGTCTAGAAGGAGAATACCTGCTCTGAAGTTTCCCACCTTCCCTGAACTGAATCTGCACAGCCACCCCAGGAGGGGAGAATGCAGCTTTGAAAAATAACACTTTTGTTATTCCAAGTGTTAGAGATGAAGCTGAGTTTTCAGATGGCCTCAAGGTTTGTGCACCCTTCACCAAACACAGATGGAAACTGGACTCTTTGAACTGCTTTGAAAATCTGTTACTAAGTATTGCTGTGGGTCTGTGAAGCAGCCATTGCTAACTTCTGACTGCCTGCAATTTTTATGGCTGCATGATGACAAGGGATAAAATAGCTTCATTTTAGAAATAAATGGCTTATATGCCGGGATGGAAAACCCACCGATTAAGCAAGATTTAATCTTAACTATGGCAATTTGAAATGGTGGTCCTTAAAGACTGGCTGCAATATTTGCATTATAAATAACATTTGCATTATAGAACATGCTGCTAATATTAACCTATTCACACTGTTCTCCTGAATATTTTTACTTTTTATGGTTTCAGTACTTTTTTCTGAAGACATTAATATATATAAAGATGGATAGCATTTATTTTATATATATCAACGATTGGCATTACATTTTTTCAAACTTTGTAAATTCCATCAGAATATATTGACTCTTTGAATCTAAATCAGAAACACTTGCTGTTGTAAGTCAATGTCATGCTCTGGGTTACATAGTGGTTCCATGAAAAATAGCTTATATGTTTAACACCACAGTTTTCATTTGCCTATATTAGGAACAACCATTCAATATAAACCACTGCAAACTGACAATCTTGAATCACATTTAAGCCAGTAGAATTTACAATGTACTATCCATCAGAGTCCGTTCCACATGCAGCATATACCAAGTTAGGTTGTTCTTGTTTTTTCCCTTCAAAGAAAACTGAGCTACTGGGAGAAGCAATCTAGACATTTCTACAAACTAGTGGAAGGCTGTGAGAACTACAGCTGCTTGTTCTTAAGGATAAAATAAGGTTCGCCCACACAACACACACATTAAACTCTATGTTCTCAATGTAGTTTTATTACGATTTTATAAACACTAAAAGTTGCACAAGTACACCCAGTGTGTGTTCATGTCTGGACCAAAGAGCAACTATCCCTTAGGGTAGCAGTGCCACATTCAGCAAGTTTTAAGGTTGCTATGGAGACATTAACTTAGCTGTTTTATGTACAACTTTTTTTATGGTAGGAGGTACATTATGATATACATTTTATAAGAACATATGCTTTAGCCACAGCAGGCTGCCTCCTTGGAGCCTGGCAAGGATAGCTTTGTGGCCCCTACCCCACTTCAGGATGCACATCAGCAGAACTGAGCAGACTCAGTAATCTCTTCCCTGGGCTTACTGAATTTTTTTTTTTTTCCTTCAAAAAATAAAACAAACAAAAACTTGATGTATATATGGAGACCAGGAATCTGAGCTTCCTTGCAACCTCCATACCCCAAGGTTCACTGAGTGACTGTATAATTCTGGCATGCACAATCTTTATTTCTAATTCTTTATTTCATCCTTCCTACCACAGGTATTACTTACAGTGAGAGGAAAAACCCTCACATCATGAGAGTTTACAATCTCTCCATCTTCCTTGAGTTTAAAATGCTGTGTAATTCAAAGGTGGCACTGAAATTTCAATGATGTTTCAAGAAGGGGTTTGTGGAACTATTACCAGTATCTCATAATAACTACCTGATGGAAGAAAAAGAAAGATAACCTGGAACTAAACAGAAGAAAGTGCAGAAATGAGAGAAAGCCTTGTCACCTGGTTTTCTTCCAATCTATTATTTTGTTGATGATGAAGCCAAGAAGATGTGTAAGAAAAACCCCATTCCTGTTCTTGAGATTAAAAAAAACAAACAACTGAATGGAAAAAGAAACTATATGACTGCCTTGCTGGTGTCCCTGCGTTATTCTTAAAAAATACTCTCAGAAAGTATAGGGCAAGTATGATGATACAGAACTGATGGCATCTTCAAGTGACTAGACTTGCATAATAACTTAAGATCACTCTAAATTCAATCTAGGTTCATTATTTTAGAACTGCAAATTGTGCCGAGGCCTAGAAGTAAAATGATTAGAGCATAGTCTTTGCCAGGGCCACCCTGTGTGATGGTGCTGTTTGTGAACATCCTTGAGACTCCCAAGCCAAGGATGGAAGTGGGGCTGTAATAAGGCCACGTTCTGCTCACCAAGCCACAGCCTCACAAGGTGCTGCCTACCCAGCAGGAATGGGATGGAGAATACATTAAAAAAAAAAATCTTCATACGAACCAGGGACGCCTTTTTAAATTCATACTCTGTCACTCCACACATGCTCTCTGGCCTCAATGTAGCTCCAAGAATACTGACTGGTTATGTCAGGCCCCAGAACGGGATTGGATACCTAATTTTCCATGGAAGAGGCAAGCTGCCAGCAGCTGTATATAACTTTTTTTTTTTTTTGCTTTTTATTTTTTATTTTTTCCATTTATTTTTATTAGTTGGAGGCTAATTACTTTACATCATTGCAGTGGTTTTTCTCATACATTGAAATGAATTAGCCATGGATTTACATGTATTCCCCATCCCGGTCCCCCCTCCCACCTCCCTCTCCACCCGATCCCTCTGGGTCTTCCCAGTGCACCAGGCCTGAGCACTTGTCTCATGCATCCAACCTGGGCTGGTGATCTGTTTCACCCTAGATAATCTACATGTTTCGATGCTGTTCTCTTGAAACATCCCACCCTCGCCTTCTCCCACAGAGTCCACAAGTCTGTTCTATATAACTTTTTAATCTTAGTCCTCAAAAGAAAGAGAGGTCTTTCTCAGGACCAGAGTGGGGTGGTCCCCGCGCTCCCCCACCGTCTGCGCTCACCCTCGCCTCTGCTCCTCGCCGGCCCCAGGGGTCACTGCCCTTCCCGGCCTCCGCCTGGAGCACGCCCCCCCCGCACAGCTGCCCTGCGCCTCCTTTCCTCGCTCTGTGTGGGAGCTCAGCCATCTCCGCACCAGGAAAACCTTGCCGGCAGGTCTGCCTAACAGGGAGCAACCTCTCTGCTAATCCCCAAGCACGTTGGAATGGTGGGCCCCTTATGGTTCCTAAGTTTTCTTCATTTAACTTACCATTCCCTACATACACTACAAATTTAATTAGTGGTCTATTTATAGTCTGTCTTCAGAAACATGAATCTAAGTTTCAGAAAGCAGAACTTTTTGCTTATTTTGTTTCTTGCATTATCTCTACCTTTGCCAACTCTGGGATGTCACCAGTGATCTAATCTGTCATCAGCCCATCTGGGTAGACTTGTCTTAGGGTTTACCCCCTTCATCTCCTCTCCAGACATATTAAATAAAAGTCAACATGTACTAGAAGGAACTCCACTCCCATCATTTAATCAACATTTAAAAATTTAAGTAATGTATTCTTTTCTGAAAAAAAAAAAAAAATTGAATACATTATGTAAAACATGAAAGAGTTCCTTTAAAAGTGATTTATGGTGATACAGGAGCTTATTCCTGTCTACCTCAAAAATCAAGGTTCTTATTGTCCCTGCATCAGTTAGGAATTCTCTTAGGCTACACAAAATAGCACCATTATGCAATGGGAAATATGTATCAGGAACTACCCTTTCCTCTAGCAAGAGCTTCTGACGTTGACAGTCTAAGACAAACACAGCCATTCAACAACAGCTTCAATGCTTCACTACTTTCAC